TCCCCCCCCCAAAGTGCGCCGGGGCCCGAATGAGAAAAGGAGAGAAGCAAACGGCAGAGCGGTGACCGACAATGGAGCAGAGAGCGTTAGTTGTGGAGGAAGTTGCATCGACTCTTTGGCAGCAATAGCGCTTTGCCCGCGGGGTGCGGCGAGACACACCATTATAGTTGGGCCGCGTGGCTTGGAATCCAAGAAAAGTTCTCGCGCCCGCGTGCTGTGATAAGGTGTCCTCTCTGCCAGGAAATAGGATAACATTCTACCGAGTGGCTGAGTGGTCCAACTCCTCAACACTATGGCATCGCCGGCGGGACATGCCGCGGGTTCGATCCCCGACAAGCACCCTTTCTTTTCTTTGTTTTCTCCGATTCGAAAAGAGAAAAGAAGGAAAAAGAATACTCATGAGATATGTGGGTATAAAATCCTGCTTGTATTTGGAACAAAGTGTCCCTTGCCGTCTGTAAAAGACGTCTAATACCCCCACGTTGGTGGGTGCTGAATCACTCACCACTAGGTTTCAGTGCAGGGGAGTGTTATTTGGTGTCCTCTGAGCCACGTAGTAGGTTCACCTTTACGGAGTGGCTGGGTGGTCTACTCCTTGACAACCCCCCTTGGTAGTCGAAGGTTTGTCCCAGTGTCCTAGAGATGGGGGTGCACATCATCTCTACGGCAACACAAGTGTTGGTGCTGGCTGCTCCTCGTTGCAACTTCATGGCTGACGAAAATTGATGAATAATGGTTGGTTCTCTATTGCAAGCGACTGGAGGCTTCTTTCGGCACATGATCTACGGAAACGTTGTCGTGTGTGCGTTTCGTTGCCGACGTATCGACCCCAACTGAATCTTGATCGCGTGACCGGTCCCCTTTCTTTTCTACCCTGCTCCTTTTGTCGGATGTCTTGCGGCACGTGCTGGTTTCGCAGTTGACACGCGGGAAGGCCGCTGTGCGGACGGACCTTGGAACCGTTATGGAAGTAGACGGGGTTTGGAATTCTGTCTCCAACGGGCTACTGGAAGTGAATTACGCCGTGCGCCATGGGACGGCCGTGGTTTACAGGTCCCTGGAAGGTTTGCATGAGGATATGGCCTCATTGCATTCGAGCATAGACAAGGCCCAGCGAGAAAACTCAGAATGTTTCCAACAAGTGTCATCGAGGCTGCAAGGTTTCGAAGAGTACGTCAGGAGTCATCACCAGCAACAGGACGTGAGTGCGAGAAATATCTCTCTGTGTTTCAGCGCAGCTTTGCGGCGTTTACCGATGCTTTGTTTTTTGTTCGCGAAACTAACTGAAAGGTCTCGCCCTATCTAGCGCTTGTTTATTCGCCTTTCCGCATGCCTCAACTTTCCTCATCATTCCCCTACTGAACGCAGGGAAAATACCTTCAGCGTTCGTTGAAGAAGGCCAGGATGTGCCTCATTGAATTCACGGGAACCGGGGGTGGGGAACCCCAACTCCTTGACCAAGCGAAGGAGAGTTGCATAAATATACTCATCCGTGAGCCCCACTCGGACAGTTTGGATGTCCATTTTTTGGCCGGCTGTATTGCCATTGCAGCCAGCTTCACCAAGCACGCCCAGGTTTGCGCTCGAACCCCGTCTGTCCGATTCTGGTTTGCCCGCATATACATATATTTTGTTCTTTTTTTTGGGATGCCAGGTACACACAGGGTGTTTAGGTATAACTCCTCGGTGCGCCCGTGTAGTCAGCGACAAGTCCCAATGGCCGGCGAGATCGTCAGTGCACCACAGATCCATGCCTTGCGCACGCTCTTGTCGATTTTCTAGAACTGGTGCAGTCCCGTTGAGTTCCTTCTGTCCGCCTCTTGTACCCTACAGCAAGAGCCGCCGGCCAGGGCCAAGGCATATGTCTTCGATGGGGTTTTCCGGAACGTCATGCTGTCATTCGAGGCATTTTGGACCGACCCTTGCGCGGCGCGCACACGCAACGGGATCCTCGTGGTGGAATACCTACTGAGCATCGTGTCGTCGGTCTGCATGCTCCCACCGGAGGGTCTTCTCCTCCCGCAGCTAGACGACAGACTTGTCAAGGCCTTCGGCGTCCTGTGTTCTTCAGAGCCTTCCATCCTCGATCGTTACCCCGAAGTTGGGGGAGCCGCGGTGCGAGCTCTGCTTCAAACCAAGCCCCTGGACGAACTCTGCCGGATGTCGAAGTCGTTGGGAGTGGACATTGCGTTGTGCGACAACAGGGCGGATCTCATCCAGGGAATGCTTGATAAACGAAAATCCATACCGGTTGATGGTAAGTACGTACACAAGCTTGAGGATGAACAACGTGTTGGACAAACATATATATACAATATGCACCCATCTCTGGCGCCACCTGCTTACTCCTCTTCGGTGCACACTACACGTTGCCGCGTATGTACACTTGCACTTCTCAGCGTACTGGGTACACTAAAAGTAGCTCGACATATGTATGGAGCGGTGTTAGCACTGCATCATTATTCACGCAAAGTAAGCGTTGTGAGTTCGTCCGGTGTAGTTTCGTTTTTTTGGCCGTTGCCGTCCGTGATCAACACCGACGACGTATTGCTCGCGCATCTCGCACATCTCGCGAAACGTTTCCCTGTCAGCGGTGATGGACGAAGTCACCAAGACCAGCCAGAGGGAGTCTAGCATCGACGTGGACAGCAACTCGGACGACGACCCGATCCAATCGCTGAAGGCGATGAAGGCGCAGATGTGTTGAAATACAGCGCATTACTGCTGTAGGATTTGTGTGTAAGTTAGTAGACTACCTGTGTAGATGCCGTGTGATAAGTGATGTTTGGTATTTACATAGACTACTGCACTACTGCTGCTGTAAATGTATCATGTAGCGACGAGTTTAGCGAGGAGCTCGTGAATGAATTGATTGTTGATCGACTGAGGTTATATCTCGAACGTGTAGTCTTTCTGTGAGGCGATGCTTACTTTCTATTTAAGCGAGATCAGGAGGTGTTGCGAGCCTCACCAGGCTCACTCCCCAACAATCTCTCAACATCTCAACTCTGCAAATAAGCTGTGAAGTGAACAAGACTGAAAAGATGCCCATGAGCGTGCCCATGGGTAGCCCGTGGGCAGCCCATGGGCGGCCATGGGCAACCCATGGGAAGCCCATGGGTGGCCAATGAGAGCCCTTCAACCGAACCAGTGTACTCCTCAACAATAGATGATCTGCTTTGGGACGGGCGCTTCAGCGGCTATTAACTCTACCGCTAGTCGTAACCCTACCCCAAGCCCACACGATACGTGCTAGGTTGGCGCTGGTGGCGAAGTTCTAGGTTCAAGTGCTCACGGTGGGCACTTCATGGGTCACCCATGGGCCGCTTTTGGGCATGCCCATGGGTCACCGATGGGCCGCCCATGAAGTGCCCATGGACGGCCCATGGGTGACCCATGGGTGACCCCATGGGTGTCCCATTGGCGGTTTATCAAAACTGTCAGTAGTGTGGGAGATTGTTCTCGTGCTAGGCGAAGCGCGACCGCTTGTTGATAAATGAGATGATCAGGTGTCCAAAACGGTCGTCGTGGGGGCTCCCCTGGTACCTGCCAGCCAGGAAACCGCGGGCGATGTATTGTTCAGACAGGAAGACGGGAGTCGACAAGAAAGAAAGGGTGATGCATCTCATGATTGGGCATAACCGGGGGGGGGGTGTACTCATAGTCGTGCATGCCGTAGTCGTTGGACCATTGACCTCGCATCCCTACAAAGCCGGGACGGAGCACGCCGGGTTCTCACCGGACCAGGCTCTCACATCACCAAGCGCGAAGCGCCGTGAGATATTCGGCGAGTCGCATGAAGGGTGCGCTGCATCCTGCTAAGGGTTTTCGGCATCTTGTGCTTACTTCCTTGCGTACGGATGACAGCTGCGTATGAATTAATTTATTTTCTGGTGCTTTCACTTCCAGAGACAGTTGTAAGCACTGTATAACTGCCTCGAGGGTGCTTGACCATTTTAACACAACGTGGTGCGATCATCCCCCTTGCGCGGAGCGAGGGTTCTCGACCCCGCACAACATGATCTACTCGACCACCATTATGGTTACCGCCAAAAAAAAAAAACGGAGGTAAAAAAAAAAACGGTAACCTGGTTGCCGAGTTCACGAAGTGAATTGGCTTGTTTTACAACGTCTTTGCCAAGCGACGAAAACCCACTCCCGATGGCAAACACCGGGGGGGGCGGCTTGTTTTACAACGTCGTTGCCAAGCGACGAAAACCCAACCCCGATGGCAAACACCGGGGGGGGGGAGTGTCACTATCTATTTCTCGTCGCCATGTGTCAGTAGGTTGAGCAGCCTTCACCCTGCAGTGTGATTGATCCGTCCAGGTACATACATACGATGAAGACGACCCTGATACTTGTTCCGAGATGAACATCTTCCCGGGATCACAGTTGCCTTGGTCTTACCGACGTGAATATTTGGGACAGCTTTGCGAAAAGCGTTGAACGGAAAGTTCTAGATGAGGGGGTTTCCCTAGGTTTCAGCTAGATAGGCACCACATGGTTCCACGTGTACTCGGCTGTCTGCAGGCTTAGATGGATAGCCGAACCCTGAAGCCCCTCAAGCATGTACCGAAACTGAGGCGGTTATTTCGCGCCTCACACAGGGGAGTAGGGCGTTGGGTATCTCGACGCTATTACGTCTGTCCTGGTGGGTCGTGCCTCAAATAAAACTCATCAATACCTGCTCCAGGTTTCGAAAGTGGGTTTGAATCTACACTTTCAGCCTCTTTTCACCTACGTTCTCCGCTCGTTGTTATTGTTCGGACGATCCACCGCCTCCGCGGCCTCGGACTGTCTATAGCGGCATCGCCTGTCGACTCTCTTGCGTGATTTCCATTTCTTATTTGGTCGATCAGAAAAGTCCAAGTTGTTGCTCGGACGATCTTACGCCCACGCGGCCTCGGACGGTAGCGGCATGCCTGCCAACTTGTTGTGGCCTCGCATTGTGGCGGCATCGCATGTCGATTCTCCCTCGTGAACTTTTGTTTGAGGTTGGTTGGGTTGGTTGGGTTAGGGTTGATGAGCGGGTTGGTCGGGTTGGGTGGGGTTGCGTGTGGGGAAGGGTGGGTTGGGTCGGTCGGTGGGGATGGGGATTTGGGGTCGGGTTGGGCTGGGTTGGATAGGGTGGGTTTTTCGGTCGGTCGGTCGGGTTGGGCTTGCGTGGACGTTTTTCAGTGTTTGTTTGGAGAAGGGTTGGGTAGGGCAGGGTTATGTAGAGGTCTTTTCCTTTCTGTATGACCCAACGAATCCATTTCTAAGAAAAGAGTCTTAGACTAGATTAATTAGCAATGAAATTTTTATCACTTCAGGAAATGCTACCTGTATTTTTACGGTTTCCCGAGCGGCACCCAGCGATATGTATCTCCCCTGTTTTGTTTTGCCTCGGTTCGGTCGGTCGGTCCGTCGGTAGGGTTGGGGTTTTGGGGTCGGATCGGTTCGGGTTTGGTTGGGTGGGCAGTTCGGTCGGTTATTCGGTCTATCGGGCGGCCTTGGGCCATGTCGTTGTTGATCACGCCGGCATCGTCTCGTCGATCTCCGCAGTTGAGATTGGGTCGGTTTGGGTTGGATTGGGTAGGCCTTTCGGTCGGGCGGTCGATCGGGCGGCCTAGTAGTTCGTAGGGGCTTCTTCGTGGTCGCTCGGCTCCTGTGCGTCACCTCTATCTACATGTTTGTGGCGTAGTTATTTGTGTGGCGGAGTGTTTTTGTTACGAGTTGGTTGGTTGGTGCACGTTTTTTTCTTGATTTAGGAGGGCTTGATTGAGCCGTGATGGTATCAAGTGTCGCCTTGCATGTTGCAGTCGGTTCACTTGGGATCAGGTGGGTTTTCGGGGTTGTTTTCTTGCTCTGTTGTTGGATTCGTCTTCACTCGACCGTGTCAGGTTGGGTTGGGTCGGCTTCGGGAGGGGTCGGTCGGTCGATCGGTCCATCTTCGGGCGGCCTTGGGCCGCCTTCTCCGTCGATCGCGCCGCCGTGTCTCCGTCGATCGTCGTCGTCGGTCGCCCTTGTCACCAGTAGTGTGACCATTACCCTGCTCACGCAGAGCCTCCAATCCGAGGTCCGCGTTCCTTTGGACGTGCGTGGATGGCTACGACGAATTAAGTGTTCTCCAAATCAAACGGCATAAATGACACATTCTTACGGTCCGTGCACGACAATTTGTCGAATATTTTCCCATGCACAAAGTGCAACTTTTCTCTGCACACAGGTGGTTGTTCGAAAATCTGAAAGTACCGGCATACGGTAGGCCTGTCCTCCATCGGCCATTTTATTTTCGATTTAGATACACAAACTTTATTTCTATACTAATTTCAAGTAATTCCACCTTCTTATTCTCCGTCATACAAGCAAAACGGCCGATGGAGGACAGGCCGCATTTACAGGCGCAGGGCGTGACAGAGAGTTTTTTCTTTTCTTTTCCTTGACTATTTACTTCCCAAAAACCGGAAAAACTTGCTTCGTTTACTGGGGGTGGAGTTTCATGCCGATTCACAAAAACTCAACGGATTTGGACAGATCTCGGGATTCCGCAGATGGGTATTTTTTTTTTTTTCCAACTCTTGGAATTGAAGGAGATATCCAGGAAAAACTGGATCTAGAGGGTCAAGTTGTTTCGTTCACAGCACAACAACTGACCAACCGATTCCAAAATATACAGCGGCAAACGATTCCTCTCATCAGTCTCTAGATGGGTATTTTTTGTTTTTCCCGGGATAACTCTGGTTCTCGAGATATGCCACATTTTGTCGTATGTGATGATGTCTGTACTGCCCCCAGTGGTCACGGGGTTGCGGCTCTTGCAAGCCTTTTCGTGACATTTCTCAAAAAAAGTGGTCATGGGCCTCAAGATCGCGTCCGGTGATTTGGGACCAAGTAATCCATTGTTTCCTTCAGTGTTAGAAACATCAAAATGTTACATGATACACAAAAAAAATGATACCGCCCTTGCATCGCTCTTCACAGCTCCTCATCACCAACCATCCCATGGTACCTCAAATCATCCGTGAATAATAACCGTATGTTCCCCGATCCCCATAAGCATTACACCATACAGTTGGAGCCATCTATCCTCAATTATGCATCCGCATGTGCAGATACAGGCAGATCTTTTGCCACACGACTATTACCATCCTTCCAAACACCTCATCTCACGCTCTGACATCAGGTTACTCTCAGTCACGTCACCAGGTTACTCTCAGCCATTCCGCGATCGCACCCCCGCCGTGCGACGGCAACCTCACCGTAAGGAACGCACCAGCATCACAAGAAAAAAAGTCAGTTGCATCCCCCACATCCAACAGGAACACACAAATATAACAAGTAGAGGAATAGAGGAGGAAGCACCACAAACATCACAACAACTACCCAAAAACCACGCCATCGATCGGGTAGTCGAACGAGAGCAACAATCTGTAGCACCCCGGTTAACGAGTAGCACAATATTTTCATCCAATCCGATCCAACACACTTGGCGGCTGAACCAACCAGAACCACCCCTGCCTGCCGGAGTCAACGTGCTTCCACTCCAGCACGGGGTGGCGATCAACACCAAAACGATAAGCATTGCGCGGATTTCCGCGGTTATGTTTCGGGCAGTTCATCCATCATTTCAACAAGAGTGGACGTAATGTCCCGCGGGCAATCGCGCCTCCCGGCTGTAAAAGCCCACGTCCAACAGGGGGCCATACATCACCCAGTTCACATCATTTACAAGGGTTGGGCAACACGACTACACAAACCTGCACACATACCGTCGAGCGGGGGGCGTGAAATCACCCGCTCACCAAAAACAGTTGTCAGCCACCATTCGTCATCACAATCTCCGCCAAACAGATCGGAATCAAGGACACAACTCGGGTTACAGTCGCGGGGCACACGCCACGTGCACCCCGGGAACCAACCCATAACGCAAGGACAACAACCCATCTCCGCGCCCCTCAAGAACTCCCGACAGGGTTGGACAAAAACTCGTCTGTTCCGACTAGGAATAAAAACGCTCGAGAACCATGTGAAGATAAAAACTCGTTATGGTGTGGTATAACTAGATACCAGAGCGCAATGAGCGCGCCACTCCGCCTCACTCAGTCCCACAAGAACTGAAACTCGCAACGAATGGCTTCCTTAGCGTCCTGTATCGGGCACTCCCCGTGGTTGGCGTACACCTTGTCGAAGTCCCAGTCCAACACCCTCGACATCGCCGACTTGCACTTCTCGCGGTCCCACAGCAACGACTTGGTCGGGCACACCGGCTGAGGGGACACAACGGCAGAGCGGCATCACGCCACACATGTCGTTACGGACGGTAATAGCGAAGCGGGTAGAACGAGGGCAGGGGACCCCGCGGAAACGATCGAGGACACCAAGACAACCGGGGACACGAGCTTGTCGCAAACAAATTTAATATTTGCAAACAAGCAGCGCCGACTCACGCAGCGAGACGCACTGGGGTAGTTGTGCGTGCTGCCTAGCCCAAGGAAACGAACGTGTTGCCCAATGTCCACACCTCCACGAGCCAAGCACACAACCGTGGGACTCTAAATTGGTCCCCTGCACGCGACAACGGGTTCGGAAAGAGCGTCGCATCACCAATATCACGACATTAACCTAAATAGAAGGTTATGGTCAGTGGTCTCACGCACACCCCGTCGAGAAGCTGCCAGAACACTTACCCGACCGAAATTCCCAGACATTTTGGAGGCTGCCCGGAGCACCGGGTTCGGGATATTGCCTTCCCCCATTTCCACGAAGCTGTCCATCGCGAAGACACTCCTCGTTGTGCGGTGCAGCAAGAAACATTCTCGGAAAAATCCGTTCCCCTCCAAGATGGATACATCCAGTTCTGCCTTCCACGACTCCGGGAAAGACTGCCGGCCGAAGAAAGCACCGGCAGCACACAGCGAGGGGAAAAACTCACGGTTAAACAACAACGCCTCGAAAAAATGGTGGAAATCTTCTCGTTTAGCGCATACACCCATGCTCGACGCGCATCGTATGGCAAGTCAGGTGATATCTCGCCGTCTGGAGTGTGAACGAGAGCATCCTGCAGGCAAAAAGTGTATTTGTCCTTGTTAGTCCTGGTGTTGTGTTTGTGCTCGCATAAAAAGAAACGTTCCGGTCTCTGCCCAGTGTTGGTGCTCCTTTTACATCCTTACTTGTGTGCTACGCTGACATATTTATTCGTACCAACAACCGTGACGTGCACGAACTATAATAGAAGTACACGTTCAGACTTCGCAGGTAATTCACTTTCGGATAAAGAAATCCATGCGGGAAATAAGGACGCAAAGCCCATTCAAAGTGAAGAACGATTCGGTTATTCGTCTGTGCCTGCCAATTTCAGGCGTCCGATATTGTAGCGGGCACCCGCCATATATGACATGACCCGCCTCATAGAGAGCCTACTGCTCTGCGATACGCCTGGACAAGAGGAAGCGCCCGGGATAAAACATTAAACAGGCTCAGCAAGAAATCCTGTGTAGAAGTACCAGGTATTTGACAAGTCTGACAAGCTGTTGCGCTGTGTAGAGGGTGGACAGGTACACATAGTATTCGGTAGATATTTGGCAGTAGTTCGGGTTTCATTTGTTATTATTACGGAAAATTGGAATATCAGACTATTTTCTTTGGTAGAGATGGATTCGTTGTGGTCATACTGATGAAATAAAAAAAAATACTATTCAGTGCGGTTCGGTGGGCTTTTCGAACGAAAACAAGTCGGGTGTGTGGGCTGTTCGAGGTTGGAAAACGTCACCACCGTAAAATGGAGCCGGTTGGCTTAAGGCAGTTTCTCTTGGGCGGGCGGGTGCCAGGTTAGCCAGCTGCCCCCTAAAACAGCCGTTGTCCTCAGCGAAACAAAGCCGAACGCAGAGAGCGCAATATTACAGATCCGCGTTCGCCATGCGTTTCTTCATCTGCACCACTCCTCAAGAACGAACATTATCATAGCTTGTGCTCTCATGAGGGCACTCCGCAAGGCACCCATGTCGGCTGGGCTGCTACAGCAGTCTACTTACCCAGGGGATTCTCCCCGGGAATGCCAATTGCAACCGTATTAATAGTACCCGCAAATGCCTGTGTAGCTTTGCCAATCTTGTGGGGGGTTCCAGGTCATCAGCGAAATCACACCCAGCAGCCACTGCCTCCCGTGTCAAAGGGGAAGAGAACAAACACTTCAACAATATCGTGTGTATAAATTCTATTAGCACCTTACTTTGCCGACAAGGATCCATTCGCGCCCCCCCCCCCGAGCGCGCAAGTCGCTGCACAGCATCATCTCTGGGTGCATGATGTTGTTGCGCGGTGCTTGGTTTTGCGGCGTGTAGGTCGATGACGACAAGCGGCCTTGATCTCGCGCAAGAGAATAAATTCCGTCTACACCAAAAAGCTGCCCTAGGTCCTCTCCTACAAGCAGAGCCTCGCGTGCGGCAGATTCACGAAGGTAAAAAAATCCCGACGCATTCCTTGTGTAGACGTGTTGATGCTGATCAATTTTCGTCCATCCCGGCTAGTCTGCATCCACGGAGACTGGTGGGTGACTGAAGGTCTGCGGGGTCAACCCCTCGAACGCCAGAGAGAACTATAACTACTAAAACTACAACATGCAGTGCCGCAGCGACCCCATCAAGGCAGGTGCAAATATGTAGCTGCTGTTTTTGCCTCGTTGCCATTGTCTCACCTCCAATGTTAAATCCTTGGTGAACTTCGCCCCTGGCAACTTAACCCCCTCTAGCCCCCAGAACGTCGCCCTCGGGAATCGCTTCGCCCACCCGGCTACGAACAACAGGTTGTTCCAAGCTGTCGTCGGCACAATAATGTGATCTGGGCAGCCGTCGAAACGCGCGGGGGTGCGGCGGGCAGTTTGGCTTAGCAAATCGAGTGAGAACAACCCGGTTGCGTGATACCACATTTACCATCGCGAAGCTCAGCTTTCAGTTCAAGACTTGATGTACTTGGATGCGAAGACGGAAGCATCCGTAAAACCGCAAGAATCAGCAATGATTTACCACCGAGCAACAGGAGAGCAATCAGATGAAGGATCCATCAACTCTCTGGTGGGGGCGGTGTGTTGTTGACTGGGAATCGAACGAACTCGAAAGTCTGGGGGAAGTTTTGTACTTGTATTTGAACTGGACCGTGAACAAATCGAGCTGACACAGAACCCACGGACCAATAGAGGGAGAGTCTTGATGGGCGTTCGATGCGGCAGCAAGGACTGCTGCCTCAGCACTGGAGCTTCCTGCCAATCTCCTGCTGCCTTTCCAATCATGGGTACACGTGTAGACGTAATCGATCGACAGGCTTGGGTGAGAATTTCCGAGAGAGAAACGTCATTGGTTCCCCTTTGGCTTGAAGAACTCACAACACTTCAACAGAGGGCGGCTGCCACGTTCAAGGCATTTTTTCTGGTACAGCAACGTCGTACCAGCTGATTCTTGCGAGCGTCGCTCGCCAAAAGGAACACCGATACAGCAGCGCTCGTACTGGCGTTGATTCGCCACGGGGAGGACCATCAGCACATTTGCATACGACATTCACAAATGTGGGGTCCAAGGTACTGCTGTGATGACCATCGATGTATCCAAACATGTTCTTAGGGGGAAAACAAAAAATGTCCAAGACCAAGAACGTGTCTCGTTCACTGCCTGCTGCCGCGCCGCCACACCTGGTCCGCCAAAGGCGTCGTTGATCTCTTGCAAGGTTTCTTCCGTGGGTGCGATGGGGTTGTAGACACATACACACCCGTCGCTCAACGTGTACACGGCCATCCGGCTGTACATCTCCACGGTAGGGACGGTGTGCAGAGGCTGTACAGGCGAAAAATAAAAATTGGGGCGAAGATGAGGCAAAGGATTACATCAACGCACCAGAATGGCTGCCTTTGCAACAACGGGAAACAGGAGAGAGCCTTGACATGTCTGCGGTCATATCCTCCTATTATAGGTGTCAGTTTCTTCTTCGTTCTCTGCGATTCTAACACCAATGGACAACTGCTTGAAGAATGCTCCCCTACTAGACGCAACCAGAGCACTCGTGTGCTGCACGAGGTATTCCATCGACCAGGGTAGATTTTACCGCGGGCAGCAAAGGAGCAGCTGCTCGTGGCACGCGGGGAAACAAAACACACGTCATCGCTCTAGCGCTACCCTACCAAAGCACCGAAGTACAACAAGCCTTCTGTCTTGCCTGTTCGAAGAGCCACAGCCCTCTCATGGGCTCCGAGTCCTCATCCCGCAATCTCAGAGGCCGGTGTACAGGAGGAAACAGCCCTGGGAAGTCTTGATCGTGGCGCTCCAGTGCACAGTCCGGGGCACAGAGGGGCTCGGTCGGGAAGGTCCGGCTCACGTGTACCTTCGTCAAGGCAGAACGAGTCAAGCTGGCGCCAGCTGGTGCAACGAAGCCTTCGCAGGAGCGAGAGCTGGATAGCGCGAGACACGTCATCGCTGCTGGCAGGCCGCGCGCGTAAGGCAAACGTTTCTCTCGTCGCCCATTTGCAAAGGAAACCATGGCGTCTCGAGGTGAGAAGGAACGTGGGTAGCCCGTTTGGCCGCTGGTGTGTGCTTGTAATTCGCGTGTGGTGATTTGCATATTGGGGTAAGGCAAACGTGTTGGGGGGTACCTTATGATTCTGCGTAGCCCCCCTCCGGTCACATACGAAAGCTCGGTGCAACATGCAGGCCGCACACACCAGCTACCACTCCAGCAATAATGGAGGTGGCCGTGGAGGATTTGAACGTGCAGGGTCCTGCGGAGGGTGCTGATCTTTTTGAGTTCTCGGAAAACGTAGCAATCACGGCTCTAAACGTCCTGTGTGTTCTTATTGTCAGGGCTGACAAGGGCACGCAAGACATTGGCGAACAACGCATGAAAGGTACGTGCAGTACAAGCGGTGTACGAAGTACATAGGACGGCGCACAGGCGGTTGAGACTGTAATCTCGAGACAGCACCCTTACCAGTTCACCACTCAAGATGATCAGTACATCAGGTGCCAGTCATTACGATGAACTGGCATTTTCTGTCTGTGGACGGGTGACTCTCGAACGGAGAGATTCAAGGAAAAATCGATCCAACCCCAAGAAAGAGCCGTGCAGTAGTGACAGTCTGCTGTACAATGCCTACAGGTGCTTGCAGTAACCATCTTTTTGCCCCGAGTTTTAGTCCCTGGGAATACTCGTATCGGAGGCTGGCGTACTTTTCTGCTGCTGTGGTTCCTCGTTTGTAGGACATCGCCTTGATTCTTGGGTCACACGTTTGCATTTTTCTCGCTCCCAATCCCGCCGCTTCCGTCCGTCCGTCCCTACAGCAAAGTGAAATACGAGTATTAATATTTGTTGGCCGTTTTGGATTATGCTCTTGGATCCATCAACATCGAGTGTTGTTGCTGGCTGCACATCCCGATCGCTTGTCATCGAGCAGCATACTACAATACTAGATGTACGACTCCCCCTTTGACCTGGTGGGTGGATCATTTCAGATTGTATGCGATCTGCGGGTGTACTGTAGCATCTGGGCAGGGGGGTATAACGGGGAGCTACAGCAGTGTCCGATGACCTCACCGAGCTGAAACTCATCGCCAGACTTGGGCTTCGAAGCACGAGAGGCGGCGCTGAAGATGTTGCGTGCGCACGTGAAGAAGTTTTGTAGGTGGAGGGTGCTGGTAGCAAGTGAGGGGTGCTATGGGCGGAGCAAGCGGAGCGGGGGGGGGCGCGTGTGCGGGGGAGAGAGAGGGAGAGAGCTGCGCAGCCAGACAGAGAGATAGACGTTATTGCAGGTTTCAGGAAAGAAACGGAGAAAGCAGGCGGATAATCCGACGGACGGGAAAAACATAAGAAGCCCGGGTGCGAGATTCAGACAGAGAGATACACCTGGTGTGATCGCGAAGGAGTGCGTGAGATCCACACGGAGAGCGAAACGAAGAGCGATAAACCTCGTGTAATGGTCTCTCTCCGCCTCCCCCCTCCTCCCCTCCCTGGGGGAGGCCGAGGCCCGCAAGTGCAGTTAACCCTCGAAAAAACCACCCAACAACGACGGATATACGGTCCCTAGCACCGTGTAGGAGAGGATCCTGAGTTTGGCGGTCGGGAGTTACCGCGGTCACGAGATCGAGGTAGGTCGTGATATGGAGTATTGGAGACAGCTGCCGATGGGTTTGAACCCAAATGCCCCGGTTTGGACACCGGGGCAAGGCAGCGGTGGAGAGCAC